TTTTTTTTTTTTTTTTTTTTTTTTTTTTTTTTTTTTGTTGAAGTTTTTTAAATTTTTTTTGGGGGGGGGGGGGGGGGGGGGGGGGAAGTTTTAAAAAAAAAAAAAAAAAAAAAAAAAAAAAAAAAAAACGGTGGGTACAGCGTTTCGATCACACACGGTATTTAGAGCGAATGGAGCGGAGACGGGTTTGGATATCTGCTGCGATGGCCGGAGAAGCCGCAGATGCCTCCCATAGATGCCCGAGCTTCGCTTTTTGTTGCGATGTCAGGCACATCACGGTCATGTCAAATCGCCCAACATTCGTGAGGTTCTCGAGGAGGTGAATCGCATGCAAATGCAAAGCGCCGTCCTCAGCACAGAGGAGGAACTCATTGACGACCGCGATGATATCGCAGAGGAGGTGGGAAGTCAACGCGTTCTTGAACATTCGAGGCAAACTTGATGGGTCAAGCATTCGGATGACGTGGGCCTGCGCTTGCCGATCACTTGCCACAGCTTTCCACGCGCTCTCAAATTCGTACGCCGACTTCGGAGCAGCACTAGCTTTACTTATCTTAGTAGTAGTAGTGCCTTTCTCCTTAAAGTTAGAAGCAGCGGCCACCGCGCTTGTCCCTGAAACATGCGGTTCGAACCCAGTCACAAGCTCCAGCTGTGTCATCTGGCCCTTGGCCGAGCAATCGTCCGTCCCCTTTAAGCCATGGTCTGTGCAATTTGCCCCAGCCTTATCTGCTACCACCTTATCCGGTACAACCTTATCGGCTACCACCTTATCCGGTGCCTTATCCATTACCTTATCGGCTGTGTTATCTGATACCTTATCCATTACCTTATCCGCTGTGTTATCGGCTGTTTTATCCGATACCTTATCCATTACTTTATCCGCTGTGTTATCGGCTGTTTTATCTGATACCTTATCCATTACCTTATCTGCTGTGTTATCGGCTGTTTTATCGGATACCTTATCCGGTACGTTATCCGGTACCTTATCGGCTACCTTATCCACTGCGTTATCGGCTGTCATATCGATTACCTTATCTGGTACCTTATCCGTTGCGTTAACTGCAGACAATGCAGCAGGTCTGGGAAGGACATCTGATGTCGATGCCAATGTTGATGCGAATGCAGATGCCGATGTCGATGCCAATGTCGATACCTGTGTCGCTATGGCGGTTCGAGGTGCTGCTGTTGATGATTTTGCTGGTGCGGTTTCCATCGTTGCTGTCGATGGTGTCCACAAGGCTGCTGCTGTTGTTGTTGTTGTTGTTGTTGTTGTTGTTGTTGTTGTTGAGGTTCCTGTTTCTGTTCTTGGCATTTTGGTGGCATTCATTGTGACAGTCGTTGTTGCTAATGACGGCGGTATCGTAAGCAATGGTGCCTCTGTTGTTGACGTTGCTGTTGGTTTTGTGGTTGTTGTTGTTGGTGGTGTTTGTGCCGGTAGGGGTGTAACAGTTGGTTTTGTCGATGTTGTTGAGGATCTTTGTAGCGTTGGTGTTGTCTCCGATTGCGATGCGTCTGGTATTGGCATTTGTGCCGATGTTGGTGGTAGGGTTGGTTGTGATGTTGGTGTTGATTGTGTTGGTGGTGGTGAGAGCGATGTTTGTCTCCGATTTGATGGTGACTCTGGGGATGATGGACTGGTATCTGTTGATGCCATGGTTTGCGCCGATCCCTCTGTTGCCGTCGAGGTTGATGTGTCTGATGGTGTCAGTGCCTCGGCAGTCCTCGGTGTCGAATCTGTCGATGATGTTTGGGCTGGTGTTTGTGTTAGTGTTTGTGTTTGTGTTTGTGCTGGTGGTGAAACTGACGTTGGAGAGGATGCGCCCCTCGCAGCGGACAGACCGGGCGTTGATGTTTCTGTTTGTCCTTCTGCTCAAGTTGATGTTGATGTAGGTGTTGATGTCAGTGTGAAGATTGGTGTTTGCGTTGATGTTGATGATGGCAACTCTCTGCAGACTGAGAATGAATCAGGTGCTGTTGTCGCATCCTCGAAACCATCTACTTTTTCTCCCTCACTCTTGGCTGTCACTACGGCGCGCTGTCGACCTGAAGTTGTTTCTCTGCCTCCCAGTCGGCCGTTTGTTGCGGAAGTGATCGGCGTCCGTTGGCCTTCGCCAAGTTTGGCATCGTCCTCGTCCGACCACCTTCCGTGGTCGGATGCGGAAGCAGCGGTTGCAGGGTTGCTACGAGAGAGGCTTCTGTTTT